TGAAACCGAAAATGAATCTCGAGAAAAATTAAATCCCGAGCATGAATCTCGATAAAAAAGTAATTCCGAATCTAAATGTGGAGAAAAAAGTGAATCCAAAAATGAACCTCGAGAAAAAAGTGAATCCTTCCGAGAATGAATCTCGAGAAAAAAGTGATTCCGAATCTGAATGTGGAGAAAATAACTGAATCCAAAATGAATCTCGAGAAAAATTTCCAATCCCAATTTGAATCTGGAGAAAAAAGTGAATCCAAAAATGAATCTCGAGAAAAAAGTGAATCCTTCCAAAAATGAATCTCGAGAAAAAAGTGAATCCTTCCGAGAATGAATCTCGAGAAAAAAGTGATTCCGAATCTGAATGTGGAGAAATAACTGAATCCAAAATGAATCTCGAGAAAAATTTCCAATCCCAATTTGAATCTGGAGAAAAAGTGAATCCTTCCAAAAATGAATCTCGAGAAAAAGTGAATCCTTCCGAGAATGAATCTCGAGAAAAAAGTGATTCCGAATCTGAATGTGGAGAAAATAACTGAATCCAAAATGAATCTCGAGAAAAATTTCCAATCCCAATTTGAATCTGGAGAAAAAAGTGAATCCTTCCAAAAAGAATCTCGAGAAAAAGTGAATCCTTCCGAGAATGAATCTCGAGAAAAAGTGATTCCGAATCTGAATGTGGAGAAAATAACTGAATCCAAAATGAATCTCGAGAAAAATTTCCAATCCCAATTTGAATCTGGAGAAAAAAGTGAATCCTTCCAAAAATGAATCTCGAGAAAAAAGTGAATCCTTCCGAGAATGAATCTCGAGAAAAAAGTGATTCCGAATCTGAATGTGGAGAAAATAACTGAATCCAAAATGAATCTCGAGAAAAATTTCCAATCCCAATTTGAATCTGGAGAAAAAGTGAATCTAAAATGAATCTCGAGAAAAAAGTGAATCCTTCCAAAAATGAATCTCGGAAAAAGTGAATCCTCCGAGAATGAATCTCGAGAAAAAAGTGATTCCGAATCTGAATGTGGAGAAAATAACTGAATCCAAAATGAATCTCGAGAAAAATTTCCAATCCCAATTTGAATCTGGAGAAAAAAGTTAATCCAAAAATGAATCTCGAGAAAAAAGTGAATCCTTCCGAGAATGAATCTCGAGAAAAAAGTGATTCCGAATCTGAATGTGGAGAAAATAACTGAATCCAAAATGAATCTCGAGAAAAATTTCCAATCCCAATTTGAATCTGGAGAAAAAAGTGAATCCAAAAATGAATCTCGAGAAAAAAGTGAATCCTTCGAGAATGAATCTCGAGAAAAAAGTGATTCCGAATCTGAATGTGGAGAAAATAACTGAATCCAAAATGAATCTCGAGAAAAATTTCCAATCCCAATTTGAATCTGGAGAAAAAGTGAATCCAAAAATGAATCTCGAGAAAAAAGTGAATCCTTCCAAAATGAATCTCGAGAAAAAAGTGAATCCTTCCGAAATCTCGAGAAAAAAGTGATTCCGAATCTGAATGTGGAGAAAATAACTGAATCTAAAATGAATCTCGAGAAAAATTTCCAATCCCAATTTGAATCTGGAGAAAAAAGTTAATCCAAAAATGAATCTCGAGAAAAGTGAATCCTTCCGAGAATGAATCTCGAGAAAAAAGTGATTCCGAATCTGAATGTGGACTGAATCCTGAATCTCGAGAAAAATTTCCAATCCCAATTTGAATCTGGAGAAAAAAGTGAATCCAAAAATGAATCTCGAGAAAAAAGTGAATCCAAAAATGAATCTCGAGAAAAAAGTGAATCCAAAATGAATCTCGAGAAAAAAGTGAATCCTTCCGAGAATGAATCTCGAGAAAAAGTGATTCCGAATCTGAATATGAATTCAACCATTTTCACGGCTCTACCATTCCTAGCCGAAGCCGGATTCATTAATCATTACTCACTTATTTATTTAAAATTAATACCTTTATCGCCATGAATTATGGTAAAAAATTCTTTCATGTATTCTTCCGTTATCGCCACATTGTTTATTGAAGAAAAAACTCAAAGTCATGCCATTTTGGGAAAAACCTTTCTGCTATTTTACCGGCTTTTAATTGACACCATTTCCGCTATTTTTAGGGTGTGCACAAGACGAATGAAGACATTTCCTATGATTAACGTCACAATATATATTATTCATCTCGCGCACGATGTTCGGCGTTCAATACCGTCTCGGTATTCAATACCAACATTATAGTTCAGTGTACGCATTCGCGCAATGTTTGCTATTCTAATTTATTAGCATGCAACGTTATTCTCATTTACTTTATGAGCAAAACGGCCAAAATGTCTTGACTTATTTTAATTCTTCATGCATGGTTGAGTTTCATTTTTGTAACATTCACCATACCGGATCATGCAATCATGCAAGTTATACCGTGAGGAACTGTTTGGAAACGACAGCCTTGTTCCCCGGGCTCTGAGAACGAGGTTGATTGCATGGGGGCTTAACCTATGGCATAATAATGCTTGGTGGCATTTACATTAATTATCATGCAAGTTATCTGGCTGAATATTTCCTATGGTACCATTTGTACCTCCTAGCTGATAATCCAAGCAAAACGTTGTCAGATGTATAGCCAAAACGATTAACAATAACATGCATAAAATATGCTCGGGTCTGACAAAGTCTCAATGCTTGTGCTAAGCTAATTTAAACCTATAGCATCTTATTATTCACAATAGGTTATATTTGCACACGTTAGCCAAATAAATACATTACATCTTTTGAAACTTTTTGATTGTGTAAATAAAACCTATTGACCACCAAGCCCTACTTGCATGCACTAGTGGGTCAGTCAGATTAGCACAACAAAAACATCACAATTGTCACAAACCATACGCGTTCCATGACATCATACCAGTACTCTGACGGTCTGAACTTTCGTATAATGTCCATGCTATACCCTGGACATACGCTTTATCCACGAGTCCACGACGTACATATCTCAAACCACACTGGGTACGTTCCAAACAGGCTCGAGCTTATTCAAATGTACAAATACCGTAATTCATGCATCATATTTTGAGCTAAATATATTTGGTACTAGCTTAAATATGCCATCCATATAGAAATGACATCCTTGGGCAATATACATCCTAGTAACATTGCTATATATAGCAATAGCAACTTAGTGGTCCTTATAGAAGCAAGAAAACTTTCATTTTAATTTGATGGAATTCGAAACAAAACATTCCAAGGTTTTGTTGCTAAGGCTTATAGCAATAGCACAAATTTCTGCCCTTAAAGCCTAAAAGCCGTGAAAACATTGATACTACTGACAGCCTTGAAATGAACAATTTTCCATGCAAATGTCTTGAAGATGCCATCCATATAGAAATGACAATTATTGGGCAGTATATCCTAGTAACTATTGTTTTTTGAAGCTAGCAGCAAAAATCCCAATCCTGTTTAAGCATGTAGCAATAGGAACTTTGTTGCCCTTATAGAAACAACAACTTTAGCTTTTAATGAAAATACGCACCAAGTTTTTTTTAGCTGAAGTGTACAGCAATACAACCTGTGCTTATAGACTGACAGCTATCAAAAGACACTGAAATACTGATTTTTTCCCGCTAAAGCTGTTCGACTCTTTGTTAAAAGTCGAATTTGTAATTAAATTCTGAAAGATTTTCGAAAGTATTTGTACATTTAGACCCGACCTTTTCATTTTCCATCTGGAATAGAATACAAAGTCGTTTTCAGGACAAATAAATTGACCATAAATACTTTAATTATTGAATATTGGTAATAATAAAATAATTGCCCTTCTAATTGTAAAATTAATTTGTCTAAAGTTAAAAAGCTGCTCAAAAAGTATATAGCGAAAGCATTTGTCGCGCGCAGTGTTTAAAATATCCCCAGTAAATTTCCTGACTAAAATTTTACGAAAACCCCCCACCTAAAACTATGCAAGACCGCCATTCAGTTTTATTTTCGACTTATGTTATTTTATTTCCGTAAAAGCCGCCAAAAGTAAAAGCCAGTAAAAGCAAGTCTGCGAAAATATTCACCGCTTGAACAGCGCTTGAAAAATATTCATTTCCATTTCGAAAATTGGCAGAAAAAACTCCCCAAAATTTTTTCCAAAGTCTCTTCAGGCTTTCTCCTGTTCCGTCGTGATACAAGGAGAACGAAAAAAGCAAAAAAAAGCCGCCAAAACCGAGGGTAAATCCTTGGTTTGGTCGCGAAAACAACCGACTTCAGCCCGTATTTCTCGCCTTAAAAGTGGGAAAATATCGTCGAAAAAAATATAAAAACACAAACCTATACTTGCCCTTGTTAGTTGAAGTTATTTCTGTGACGAGGGAACGATGTTTTCACTTCTTGTTTCCTTTTTAACGTTTTTTTAGCGACCGGAATTCACGCAGCAAGACGACATCTTCAGAATGAGCCAAAAGACGACGGCGCCAAATTTTGGCTGCGGCCTGAATCTCGTTTGTGATTGGTCGCAAATTAATAGATTATAGGAAAATATCTTTTGATCAAAAACTTTTCACTAAAACTTACTATAATTTGTTTACGATAAAACGAGATAATCTCCTAAGCAATCTTTTCCGGGAAGATTGATATCATTACGGAATAAGTCGGGGTATAACGGAGTACTAAGGGCATTAGGCATATAGGGAAATTAGGGGGAACTGTGTATCATAAAGGGAGGAACAGGGGAATCGCGGAACGGAGAAGGAACCAAGAAATTTTAAAAAAGGATCCAGGCAATCTCGTTCCCCTAATTTGATTGCCATGTCAGAATTTTGCCATTATTAAAATTGCTATTGCTCGGGGAACAAAATTGCCGTATCAGATTTTCTTTTAATATCAAATTGGCAGTTCTTGGGGCTTGGGAACATTTCCTCATGGACATTGGACACAGAGCCTGGGTCATAGTAGCCCTGTCTAGCCCAACAGTCAGTTTTTGACTGGACACATTTAAATAAATTCATTCAAAAACAATACATAATTATTTTGTCACAAACAACATAAAAAAATATTAATTACATAAAAAACTATTCTTTCCCTATTCACGCCGGCTGACCTCACATATAACACCATCTCGAGGAGTGTAGGTCAGTCTGGCCAACATCCTACCAGTCTGATCAGGCATTAGTCTGAATTTAAACTTTTGCAACAATTTTACAAGGATAACTTTTGACTCAAACTTTGCAAAGGTCTGTCCAATGCAACTATGAGGTCCAAAAGAAAAAGGGAAAAATGTGAGGCTAAAATTTGGAATGCTTTCTATATTGTCATTGGAAAAACGTTCTGGGTCGAAAACTTCTGGATTCTGCCATATTTTAGGATTCATTGAGAAAAAATATTGATGACTATGAATTCCATTTCCTTTTGGAATATGATACCCTCCAACTGTAATATCTTTTACTAAAGTTCTTGAAGGTGCTGGTGCTACAGGATACTTTCTTAAACCTTCATTTAAAACTTGACCAAGATACTTTAGTTTGGCCAAATCATCAAACTCAACATTATCTCGCCCATCCAACACTTTGTTAATCTCATTTAGAAGCTTTGCCTCAACATGTGGATTTCTAATGATTTCATACAGGGTGAATGACAATGAGTTTGCTGTTGTTTCCTGTCCAGCAATAAATACAGTCAAGAATTCATCAATTACTTCATCCAGTGACAAACTACCATCTTTAATCAAAATGCTTAACAAATCATTAGGGACTATGCTGTTATTTGCAATGTCTCTCATTCGAGTTGTGACACAATCTAAGGCAAATCTTCTAAGAAACTGTGCTACTTTAATTTGCATTCTTTTGGTAGCATTTTGAAATGGCTTGAACTGAAATATTGCCAACATGGTAGGGTTGAGGGGAATCTCTGCATTGGCCTGCACTCCTCTAAGGTAGTGCCGAATTGCTTCTGCAAATGGTGATTCTGGGTCTTCAATAGCATGAGTATTAAAATTAAATGACACTTGGCTGATAACTTCCAATGTAACATTTGCAAATTCCTGAACCATACTGGTTGGCTTAGCACTATCAACAATTTTGTTCATGTGCGACAAAAACCTATCACAAACATCATTAAACTTGCTTATGAAATCTTTTAGGCAACTCCGATGGAAAGCTGGGTTCATAATTTGCCGTCGTTTTCGCCATGAAGCTTCGTCCGTATTGGTTACTAGTCCATAACCAGCACCCCTCTCGCCAAAAATAAAACCCATTTTATGATAGAAAGCCGACGATTTACACAGGCTCTTATGGTTGCTGATAAAAACATGTCGCAAATAGTTTGAGTCACCCAGGTATACAATCGGCGTATGAAAAAGAATAAAACGAATAATGGGCCGTATTCCAGACGCTTTTGAAGTAGAAATTCGCCCCTCGTTCTACCTGTTTCTTGTTTGTACTTCCACAAATCAGGCAGATGACCCCATATGAAACTCGAACGCGGTGGTCCAGGTAAATGATCGTTGATTTTGTGAATATAATACAAATATATCATAAAGGCAAAAACCAATCCAAAACAGCCGACGAAAATTGTAGCAAAGAAGCAGGAAATCAAACCCAAAACTGTGAGAGCCATTGTTATTTTTTGTTTGGGAATTCTGCCAAAAAGTCTCTTACTCATCACCCACCCCCCTCCCAAAGACGTCACGCTCCATAGCGCCGATAACGGAAATGTACTATCATGTGGTGATACTTCGCATATATCTCGAATCAGTCTTCGTAATCAGTCGCATGTCTCGAATTTGCACGTCTGCTATCTACATGCTTTATTTTAAGAGAGTAACATTGATTTCTGGGCTACTGGCGTACCAGTAGTTTACATAATGCCTAAATGGTCCTCTGCCATCAGCATTGCTGAAATTCAAGATGTAGCAGACGTGCTATTTCGAGTTACGCGTCTGATAAAAAAGCCTTCCAAATAGAGATTATAACATTTAAACTTGCTAAAAACGAATAAACCGGTTGGTTCGACGATTTGACTTCCAGTCAAGTACCATCGATAGTTTCTTCGCATTTGCAAATCAACAGCAACAGGAGACTGGAGAGTCAGGAGTGTTTGGTACGGAAA